GCTAGAAATATACGAAACAATCAACAAAATGCTTTGTTTTCTGTTGATTGTACATGAGCAATTGTCTTAGGAACAATAGAATACACAATGGAAAATCACACCTTGTAACTTTTCGAACCACCTTTGTATCCAACCTGACCAAAAAGCCAATTGGCACCTTTGTCACCAGCTTGACTCCAAACAAGACTTCTTGACTCATTTGTCTGGATGAAGACATTCAAACTGCCGATATCCTGCCCTTTCATGTGATACCAAAACTGCACACATGTAGCCTTCCCAGCCGCGATTACACTACTGGTCAAGACGGCTGCTTCTCCTTCCTTCCGATCTGTTGATTCTAGGTAAATATATTTACCTGCGAAACGTAAAATTACCTTTATAAGCGTTCAGTTCACTCTAAAGTTTAATTGTCTCTCTGAATCATTCACCTTCAGGTAGAAAGGTACTGTGGTCATAGTCGGGCCCAGTGTTCTTTGTAGGCGTTGATCCTGAACCAATACTCCACCGAAGTTTAGAATCATGTTTTAACCCGCATAGGCCATCTTGAAAATCGCATTTGACTGGTAACAAAATACGAGGCACTTGGTAAGTACAGAACATCTTAAACCGAATTTGATGCACATCTCGAAATGTATGTTAAGCTATCACCGTTTACTTGTAGGCATAATAATGAAAATGCTGTAATCTTATTGGCTAAACTGTAATAAATTATCAGCCATCACTGAGCACTGTAATAAGCGTCGAGGTTTTTGTGTTTGTTCGAATTTCGGACGAAGATGTAGAAATATTATCAGAAAATTCAGTTTCAGGAAAGAAGGACTTTCACGCTTTCATCCCAAACTTTAAAAGCTCAAAATTGTTGCATGCAGGAGCTAGTGAGCACGCGTGTACAGCTGCAAGTTTCAAATGACAATTTCTAATTTGTACTTCTTTTCACTCAAAGATTAAGTTCAGTAATAAATAAGCTGAAATCATTATTTAGCTTTTTTTTTCTACGTAAGTGTTAGTTTATTCGCTCTCGATCTCGCGACTTACTAATTGTTAAATAAACACAGTTTTAAATTAACTGACAACGTCCACGTACATCTGTTAGGTCACTAAACAATCTTAATTATATATACAGCTCATACCTCTGTTTCCATCGCATCTTGCGTCCGTTATATCAGTATGGTTGGGACTCGCACAACTTATATTTAAGAGAGAGCAATTTGTAGAACCTGAAATACATGTATAACAATCGTCGAAAGGAATTTATAATTAGGCGCGATAAGAGGTGAAGAGTTGGTTAGATATGAGATGATTATAGCCAACAAGCGCCAGTGGAATGATTGTTTTATTAAAAACGCTCCCAAAAATATAGAAAACTAAAATAAAAAATAAATAAATAAACACGCGTATACATAACATAATTGCAGAGCATGGTATACGTGCTCTTGTAATCCATCAAATATTTTCGTTCGCGCGCAATTGGGCTAAACGCGTCACGTGACTGAATGAACTGGAGAATATCCGAGTGACATTCCCCATTTTTTTTTCAAAACTGTGCGTGTTGCGAAAAATATTTGAAGGATAATAAACACAATAGCCTCCATTTGGCGCGAAAATGTGCTCGGGTATTTTTCCTTGGACGTTTTATCTGTTCCTCGAGGCTCACAGTTTTCCTTGAACAACGCTCTCGGGAAACTGTTCGCTTCTCGGAACAAATAATGTCCGAAGACAAATATCCTAGCATATTTTCGCACCAAACGGAGGCTATTGTATAATTAACAATTATACCATGCCATAGAAAGTACAATCAATCAGAACACAGGAAAGCCGTTGTGTAATCAACGGTATTGTGCGTAACCTTCCCATCGTGCACTGCACTGATAGTGTTGACCACTGTATCTTCTATGCACGGTATGAAATAGTTATGCAATACTTTATCCATGGAATATCCAACTTGTCACTTGTCCTTTCTGTTATTCACACGAAACTTTAGGCGAGCGTGTTCTACATAACACACACCACATATAGGAGGAGCACCACATGTGTGGAGGGAGCGTGACAGAGTGGTTAGTACGCCGGACTTGAAAGGTCGCGGGTTCAAGTCCCGCTCTGACCACTTGCCGGAGCTGTTTCTCGGTAAACCCCACTTGTAAATAGCCAACTGGTCTGCCCCCCGCCAGTTGGAATTTTTAAGCCTATTATGTTCATTTGCAATATTTGTTTCTTTCAGTTCAAGTGGCATGCCTGAAAACTAGCTAGTTGTAAGTAAGTGCATCGACCACCATAAACATTCAACATTTAACAGCATTGAACACAGCACACACCACATAGAGGTTACACATACACACCACATATAGCAGGCTCATCCGTCCCATCTTCACAGTTTCTGTTTCCATCACATGTAAACGACAATGGAACACATCCTCCTCCGGCACAAGAGAAACTATCTTCAGAGCAGCTTCTTTCTGAAAAATACAATTATATAACGTCAAGGAAGAAAAACTGACAAACATGCCCGTCTAAATACAGCTTCTGCTTACCACATCTGGACTCGTCTGTTTTGTCGTCACAGTCATTTCCTGAGTCACACAGCTGGTTTACTTGAAGACATTCTCCAGTCGGACATTCAAACTGATTAGTGAAGCATTTACAGTTCTTCTCATCAGAGTTGTCAGCGCATGCATTGTCGCTGTCGCAAACCAAGTCTTTGCTCACACACTGCCCGTTATCACACTGAAAGTTATGTTTACTCTCGCATGTGAAACCTGTTAGGGATTTAAAAAACAACAAAAAGCAACAATGCATTGCTAATACCACCTTTGAAGAACAAGTACCAGTGTTCGAAAAAAAAAAGTGTGTCAGGTTAAAACTGGAGTGAATGGCTTGGATAATTAAGATTCGTTAAGCATAATTATGTCATAATTCAGGCAAACGTGTCCCGATTAGTAAACCTTGTCAAGCTTGTACATGTAGTTTAGTCAGTAGACGTTTGATACAATAACCCTCGGGTGTACTACTAAAATCGAACCGCGAGCGTGATACAAGGAGGGGAGTTGGATGGAGCCCCTCCCTTTGGTTTTTATTGTAAAAAGGTGCGTTAATCATTTTAATAGAGAGCCCTCTGCCAGCTCAACAAGACGAAATACTTTTGTTGGTCATGAAGTCATTAAGTCTACTATCTTAGATCCGCCATCTTGGATTTTGAAAGTCAGGGAATAAAGTGAATATGGTTGCTAGAACAATGTTAAGTGACGTGCATTGACACTTGACATGTCGAAATCTCGGCTGGGAATGAATGAAAAGCTACTGAAAGTTTCAGTATCACAGAGAAGGTCAGAGTAAATCGTCTTTCCAAAATTCTGGTAGAACCTCGGGGGTAACGGTGCGGCACCAACGACTTCTTCCTTGCACGTCCGAGGGTTAAACTAATTGAGTTCGTTATAGTAATCTTTTGCACAGTGAATTAAAAACAATATTTCCTAATTTTGGCACAACGTTAATAATTAATGTTAATTTTCAATTATATATGTTATGCTACAGACTCTCTCCCCGCACCTCTGAGGACATTCAAATTTATAGAAACCGAAAGCAAGTTTTTATTTCAATGATAATTATAACAAAAAACAACGAGAAACAGTTTTTAAAAATGGCTATTTACATACAAGTTTCGTTTGAAATAGAGTGCAACTAAAGTCTACCAGTAAGGGACGACAAGCTTTTTGTGCAAACCAGGCTCCCAAAAAGAAATTCCAAAGGAAAATTTGTTGCTAACCTGGCACGCTGTGAGGTGGAGACCGTTCGCATGATTTTGTAGCAATACTGATGTCATCAACAGCTAAATTATACAAATTGGGGGAGTATTTTCCATTGGCAACCATCAAAACCTGCAAAAGAAACATAAATAATTTAGAAGCAAGACAAGCCTGACTTACACAAGCTGTGCTTCTGTGGTAAAAAGCAAAACAAGGAAAATCTCTATAAAGTGGTGCTGATCTAGCAAAACAAAACTCCTATGAACTGAATTCATCGGTTGTAATATATAGATTTAGGCAAGCCTAAAAGCAGAGCTCCTAATTACAATAAATTAACATGGCTTGAGCCTGCGATCCAATCGAAAACCGATACCTAGGCAGCGGTAAAGTTAAAAAAACATGAGCCCGCGATATGGTCACGTGATAATGGTCAGCGAATACCTTGTTTTGACAGGTGTCAATTGAACATATAATGGATGCCCAATATCAAAGATGTACGCCGCAAACCCGCCCCTCCTAATCTCTAAGAGAAATGCCTTGGGAACTTAGTAGTTGCAGAGTGACATTTTAAATTGATTTACATGAAGGGGGCACACGGACGTACGTACGTACGTTTGGACAATCACGTGACAACCAAAATTTGTTAGCTCGATGGGTTGCCAAATTTTTAAAGCAATAGGGCTCCGCTCGCGCGCAGGGGCTTCGCTATAAACAATCGAGATCTTCATTTAACTGAAACCTTTTTCAGTCAAGATCGGCAAATGACATCGCAAAATGTTTCAAATACGGTAGATTATTTGTCTAAAATTATTTTCCAATACCTTAAAATCCTCATTCGTAGTGAACGATACTTGACCATTTAGCCATTTGTTGCCTTGGTGCCCACTGAGACTCCAAAGTGACAAATTGAATGTCGTCATTAAAAGCACGGTTAGTGATGATCCATAGTAAGTAGGAAGCAAATAAGAGAAGGTTAAACATAAACCGACTTTCTGGTAAATGGCATTGGCGACAATCCATGGACTCTCAAGAACAGCAGGTTTGTCTTCGCCATTGGTAAGAAGCCCTATCGATGTTAAAAGAAAATGACATGTTACGACTGATCACTAGGCCATTCTGCAATAATCCTGAACGGGGTTTTATTATATGGCTTTGGCTTGTGGCCGATATAACGCGCTCTCTGATTGGCTAAGAGCGAGATATGAGCGGTCATTATGCAGCCGTAATGCCCATGGGCCGATTACGGATTATGCAAATAAGGAAGAGCCCAGCTCTGAAAATTCAAGCGCATTGAAACGATGGAAGCCGATTAAAAACAGTAAGAGAAAGTAAATTTAATTCCAAGTAGCTAAAAGTTTAG